CCCTAACCTACACATGCAATGGCCAATTATGTCCAGTTGGTTCAACTTCATTATGTTCCAGGTTTACCATCTGCTATTGCCATCTTGCTTCAGGCCTTCATCCTTTCGTGTGTCTATTTAATAGTCCTAATTTGTCTCACTGCCTTACCTTTTGCTCTCTTCCATCTAGCCTTCCATACTCCTGGAAGAGTCATTGTTTACAACTGCAGATTGAATCATGCTTCACCCGTGACAAAGGCCTTTTTATGACTCCCGATTAACTGTAAGATAAAGATGAGACTATACATTGTTTGGCATATAAGTCTCTTCATAATCTGTCCCAGACCTATCTCTCCTGTCTGATCTCTTGCTATACTCCCTTTTTAGGCCCTCTTACCTTACTCATTCTGCTTCATCTGCTTGAAATCACCCTCTTGCTTCCCCTTTTCCTCTATTGACTCTTTTCATCCTTTAAGAATCAGCTCAGTGTCAGCTCTTCTATGAATCCTTCTCCAAATGCCTCTACTCCCCTAGGTAGAAGCGACCACTCTTCTTTGTGTACTCTCTCTGTACTGAGACCTTAGTCATGCCACTGCAATAGGTGAGTCTCACCACACATCACACTGTGTGGTACATAATAAGTGTAAAATAGTCATTTGATAAATAAATTTACTCCCCACAAATTGTTTATGATAAATGTGCTCAGAAGAGCATTTTTGACCAAATATAGATCTGAAGTAGAGAATATCATCCCCAAACAAGGACTTCTCATTTCATTCACAATGTCCAGAAAACCCCATCAGGAGGAAGCACTATTCTTCCTCCAAGTAGCCCATTGTAATGAACTTTACAGCTGTTGGACTAGAGAGGGCACTGAGATGTAGATCATGGCATTTCAAATCGGGTGACTCTTGAGGCAACGTGATGTGTTAGAACACAGGGCTTTGGAGTTTGAAGAGTAGTTGCCTGATTTTGGAGAAAATATTTATCTTTGCTGAGCTTCAGTGGAAAGTGGAGAATGGCAAACCTGTATCTACTTTTTTTTTTAAGTTTATGTAATTATTTTTTCCATGAGCATATGGGATCCACTCCCAGCTTCAGCTAGCCCTGGATCATGGTCATGGGTACATCTGGCATGTTCAGGGAGATCTCCAGATGTGAACTTAGAGCATTCCTATGTAGGTCAGCCTCACAAAGTATTGCATTACCTCTGTGCCACTGCCTAGCCCCCAATATCTACTTTGCAAAGGATTAAATGAGTGCCTAGAATATACATAATATTAAATAAGTGTTTGCTCTTTCTCCTTCATGTAATCACCCTTCGTAAATCTATCCTAATCTGAAGCTTCTTTTGTATCTGAGAGGGGTGCACACAAGTATGAACTCTGCACAGATCAACTGAGCTGATGGAGAGACCATCCCAAGAAAGGGCATCACATCCTCCTTTCCATTTGGTCCTCGAAGAACAGTAATGCTTCTATATGTTGTGTTCTAGATCACTCACAGCAATTTAGCTTTTAATTCCTAGCTTATACATGGGTTGTCATTTCACATTTTAAAAAGATAGGGTTTTGCTATGTTTGATTTAGAATGAACCTTAAATGTAAATTTTTGAGAAATTCAACATAATTCATTTATTTGAGATCATTATACTTATGTTTTCAATACATGCTGGGTTTGTTATCAAAATATTTAGCTCACTAGGGACATTTCTCATGTATTTTATATAATCTTGGCATGTTTTATGACTACAACTCATCTCACGCCAAAATAAGAAATTGCAAATGCCTCAAAAAAAGAAAATCTGTTTACTTTCAAATTCCAAATTTTAAAAACTACTCATCAAATAGAGATTCTAGTTTATTGATTGAAGTATAAAACAGAGTATCATACATTCCTGGTAACAATTTTGTTTTCATAGCTCTTGGGCCAATTTTAGGTTTTATTTTATCTTATAGTCTCTTTTTAAAACTATGAACATCATGTACCAGTCTTCACATAGCACATGTATTAACTGCACACTATTAAAGTAAGTCACGAAAAAGTGGCAGGGGAATAAGGAAGTGTATGAAGGACATTATTATGCTTCCTATGCAATATGGGGAAGCCAAGGAATGTCCTCAACTTTTACACTTAGTGCTATTTACTCCTTGAGTTCTAGAAAAGCATAAAAAACTTAGTAATTTTATTCTCCTGGTTTTATCCATGCTTATGTTTGTGTCCATTCTTAAAAAGTAACCCTGTCATTCCTGTTGAAAATAATCTGTTTTTCACAGGATTATTTTCAGGATTTGCTTCTATTATAAAAATAATTAATACAGACCTTTTATAATAATTTTCCACTTTACTTCCAAGGATTATTTAAAATAAAACACTCTCCAATTATTGTATCTTACTCTTTCATGTAAGAAATGCTCTAAAAATGACCATGTGTCTCATTTTTAGACAATCCTTTTTTTTTTTTTTAATTTTTGCCATAGGGCACATGCTCTTGTAGGACATAGACAGTGAGAGGGAAAGTGAGAAATCACTCTTCCGAGGGGAATGGCCACAATCCCTTCTCCTCTGTTCTCCTCTTGGGATTTGGGGCACACGTGCACATGTACGCAGCATGATTTTCAAGCCACTGGTCAGGGGACTCAAATCACAGCTGATTATGTGGGAGCCCAGCACCTTAATCACCATGCCACCTGCTGGGCCCTACGAAACACTTTCAAGAAGTATTCATAGTCAAGCAAAACAACAACAAAAAGCCTTTATGATATTTTGTATGTAAACATGTTATCACGGCAGCTGGCCTCTTTGGTTAAGCCTTTCAGAAATGTGGCTGTTCCTAGATCCATTGTCTTAAAATCGCTGGCATATAACTGCTGGTGCTGACCAGCACAGTAAGAAGGGGTCCTGTGACCAATAGTGAAGCTTCCAGCTATGGCCAAGAAGACCATAATCGCAGTGTTCTGTGGATAGTGACATTTCACATCATTTTCCTCTTAACTCTTCTTCCAATTCATTGTGTTTGTTTAATAAATTTTTGTTTCATCCATTATCTAATAATAACCTAGGTACCTTTTCAGGGTAATTGAAACACACACATAAAACCCCAAACACAACTCAAAGATTCCATTTAACTGCTTTCCAACAAGGGTTACATGTATAAACCTATGGAGGAAAAAAAAGAAAAAAGAAAAAGAGGAAAATATCAGATACAGGGCCCTGCTTGGGACCTAGGACTGCATGATGTCCTGAAAGACCATAGACCTGAGGCTGGCCATGGTGGGCATACCATTCCTCTTTTCTGAGCCACAGTTGCCTACTCTTTAGAGTAGGGCATGAATGTTCTTTTGTAGGGGTATTTTGAGCCCTGTAGGAGATGATGAGCACAGTGCCTAGGAATGTAATACATATTTGTTGAATTAATAAAATCATCTGACTCCATTGTTTTAGTCATTCAGAAAACAGAATCCTAACTCTGTCCCCTTCTTTAGAAGGGCTCCTTTGGGAACAAAATTAATTCTAATTAGTTTCTTTCTGGCCTAGTTAATGTGGGAAAAAAGAAATGTGGCATGAAAATTTTTTTCAACTAAAAATAATATTTTCTTCCTTCATCACATCCTCCTTCCCTCCCAAAGTCTATTCATAGATAGAGCCCAGTTGTTGGTCTGGAGGGAATGCTCATGAAAAAGAAGAGAAAAAAACATTTTAGGTGTCTTATTTTTCTTCACCTAATTTAGTTACTTATATCACCTGAAACATAAATATAATGTGAAGCTTTTATTTAGATGTTTTTGCTTTCTTATTTTCCTTTTGTGTGTGTATGTGTGTTCAGTCAATTTGCTAATGAAGATGCTGAAAGTCAAAAATTCCTGACAAATGGATTTTTTGGGGAAAAAAAGCTGGCAGATTACGACGATGAACATGTAAGTGAGTCTATCCTTTCAAGCAGTAAACAGGACCGAGGATGTCTGATCTACCTCAGAATCTGTGGGAAAATAATGTGACTGAAATTTTCCAAGCCTTGATCAGCACATTCTCTGTTTATTCAGGCCCTTACTGGAAGAAGGACTTGTTTTTCCTGTTCACCATATGGCTACATAAATCATTTATGAAATTTATTTGTTTTTTTGAGAAATCATTCTAACCCAAATGTAATCTGCAATCCTACATGCTTTCCCTTCTTTATGTTGCTCCACCTGTATTTTTTATTTTTACGGAGACCTCTGCTGAAACCAAACATTACATTCCATTGAAAATTTTATAATTTTATTGAAGCTGAATAACAGATTTTACTCACTGTGATTATATCTTAAGCTTTGACATTGTATTATCATCTCCTCCAGTAATGTCAGAATAACCCCCCAAAAGTTTGCTCTTTGGCAAATGCTTGCTTATAATGCATCTTTCTTCTCTATTTCTTTATTTTTTCAAGCATCCAGGAACCACCTCCTTTGGAATGTCTTCATTCAACCTGAGTAATGCCATCATGGGCAGCGGGATCTTGGGTTTGTCCTATGCCATGGCTAACACAGGAATTATACTCTTCATGTGAGTGAATGTTCCTGGTTTTGGTGAGAATGTCCACGGGTGCCTGGGGCTCTTTGAATAAACAACCTTAAGTTTGATCTTTGTGAAAAAGAACACTCTGAGAAGGCCTCAGTGAATTCCTCCTGGTTTTAGATGAGGTAGCAACCTGAGGAATAGTTAGAGCAGTCTAACCAGGGTACTTGTTTACCCAACCATTCCTAATCAAATGGCAAAAAGTGTATGTGCTCAGTCAAAGTGCAGGACAGTTCTGCCAGGCCCTAGGATCCATTTTACAAAGTAGTTCTGATGGAGACACAGCAATAACAGTACTGGACCCATTTGAGAAGGTCCTGAGTTTGTGTCCTGAGACCTCCCTGTGTACACCAGGCATACATACAGTGCCCAGAATCCTGGTTGGCTGAGCTGAGAGGTGGATTACAGCATAGGGACTCTATTGGGGATGTTTATCTCTCTGCCTCTTTCTCTCTCTTGATGTATGTGTTTTTTATGGAATAAATAAAAATTATACTTTAAAAACATGAGAAAGAAAAAAAAATTAGAGGTTTTTATCTTAGGGCATATGCACTCACCAGAGAGAGACAGAGGCAGAGATAGTGAGAGGGAAAGTGAGAAATCATCCCTCAGTAGGGATGGCCGTGCCACAATCCCTTCCCCTCCATTCTCTTACTGGGACCTTGGGCACAATACACATGTGCCCCGCCTGATTTTCAAGCCACTGGGCCTAGGATTGGAACTGTGTTTGGCTATTTGGAAGTCTAGCAACATAACTGCTATGTCATCTGCTAGTCCCAAGGAGAAATATTTTTTAAATGAATTATTGTTCAATAGATGCATAAAATAATTTGGTGTTTAGTAGTCAATAAAACTTTTTTCCCAGAAACAAATCTGATTATATCACACTTAGAAAAAAATATCAAAATCTCAAACCAGGCCTGAGAGCCCTGCATGCTCTGGTACCATCTCAAGTCTCATTCTCTATGTCTTACTAGGCACACTGTACTCTGAATCTCACAAAGGTGCCATGTTCCCTCTTGCCACCAGCCCTTCCACATGATCTTGGCAACTTCTTTCCTCTCTTCCCCATCTAATTAAATCCTCACATCTCCACTCAGTCTTAGTGCCAGCTTCCCTGACCTCCCTGACTCAGGTGAATCACCTTATACATTCACCAGAATTTTAATGTTTTACTGCATTTTTCTGATTCATTTAGGAAATGTCTCTCCCATGGTAGACTCTAAAGCTCCAGAGAGCTGAGCCCATGTCTGTTTATACTTATGACATGGCACTAGCCGCAAGGCCTAGCACAATGCCCAGCACAGGGAATATTTGCTGAGAGACCAAAGTGTATTTCTAAACCTACGCACTTTCACCAAACATGGTCAAATGCTGCCTCAAGGTAGCAGTGTGGCACAGCTGGCCGCAGGATGGATACCACGTTGTCTGTAACAGACAAACACAGGTGTTCATGGCGTTTCATGTACAGCCTCTATTTTCCAAGTTGTAGCTGACAGCACTGGAATTCTTCATAAGAACAAAGTGTAATGTTAGGCATTAATGAAAATGCCGATCCTAATTCTAAATGCAATACTAGAGAGTTAAATAACTGTCTAAGAATGCAACATTTATATTATATAAATAAATGCTATTTATGTTCTGAACATCATGCATGATTAGATAATCACACAACTATTTGAGGGCTAAGATCAGGACTATAAATACTTATATTACGTAAATACTTTGAACTGTTTTATGTATAATATTCTTTAGCTTAATGGGTTTTTATATCCACTTTAATTTTATAAGCCAGAAATAAACTAGTCTTTTAATTATCTGAATCTTAATGACTAGAGATGTATTGATACATTTGTATGCTTCGTAATGTGCATACCTATAAGACAAAAAGACTGTCTTCTTATTAATTATACATACCATTAAAATTAACTAGGAAGTCATCATAGATCACTGATGAATAGAAAGAGGAAATACATCCTCCAAGCCTAACACCATAGATCATTTTCATGAGAGGAGAATATTTCACTTTTAAAACAAGGCCTCATTTTAAGCCTATAAACATTTAGCAGATTAATTTAGTCAGAGCAATTAAATTGCTAAACATCATGGGGTGTCCAAGTAGCACATAATGGATTCAACTATTTCCTTTAATTCATAACAAGTGACACATTATTTTATTGGTTTTACTTTTAGTATTTTATGCCAAAGCAGGCCCATGTTAAGAAGAAAAAAATGCTCATAATTTTACCAACTAATAAAATTATGTAATCTGAATTAAATAATTCTTTAAAAACAGGTAAAATCACAAGGCATATAAAACATATGAATAAGTTATTGATTAGACAGTTCTAGAAGGCATATTTTCTAGAAAATAAGAGCACAATATAGTTTTATGTCCGTAAATTTTTTTTCTTTTCTTGTTTTTCATTGCCACAGAGTACACGTTTTCGCCAGAAAGAAGGCACCCTCCCCCATTGCATAATGGTCATGTTGTAATCTTTTTCCTCCATTTATCTATCCTGTAAGAATCTGGGGCACTGGGACCAGCAGTTATCATAATGGTTATGACGCTGGACTCCCACATTGTCGACCGCGGTTCAAGTCTCAGACCCGGTGGCTTAAACTCACACAGGTCGCGTGTGCGTGTGTGCCCAAGATCCCAAGAGGAGAGTAGAGGAGAAGGGATTGCAGCATGGCTATCCCCCCTGGGGGGATGATTTCTCGCTTTCTGTCTCCCTGTCTCTCTCTGTCTGTCTGGCAAGCGCACGCGCCCTATAGCAAAAACCTCTCAAAAAAAAAAAAAAAAAAAAAGGATTTGGACACTAATACACATGCACCTAGTGAATTTTTCAAGCCTCCAGACTGGAATTCAAACCATGGTCAGCCATGTGGGATACGATTCCCAATGTCTGGGGCCTAATTGCTGTGTTACGGGGCCAGCACCCATATGTATGTTTGTAGCATTGATTTCATTGGGAGTTGCCAAATAATTAGATCAGTTGTATTCTCCTCACATAAAATTTAAAAAAAAGAATTTTAAAAAATTTCAGATAAAAGTATTGTTTATTTATTATATAGATGATTTTATCTGTAATCTTATTTTTGTATTCTAATTCTTCAGTTTGGAGAAATAATGATCTGTATAAAGTAAGCGTACATGTATTGGAGGCTGGCAAGTGGCATGGTGGTTAAGGCGCTGGACTCCCACATGTCCGACAGCAGTTTAAGTCCCAAACATGGTGGCTTGCTTTCTCACTTTCTCTCTTTCTCTTGCTCGCTCTGTCCCTCTCTGGTCAAATTAAAATAAATAAATATAAAGTTAAATAAAATAATTATTTAAAAAAAAGAAAAGAGAAAGTATATATGCATTTAGACATGTAGAGGTTCCTGACACCAGAAATGGCTCTTTTTAAATACAAAAAAAAATTCCTAAACCAGTACTTACCATTCTCTGCTTTCTCTATTGCACATGTAATAGCCGGACCTTCTGGTTGACAAAGTACCTTGCTATCTAGAGCAGAAGATCTGTACTAATGGAGTGCAAACTCTGCAGCTCAAACTCTACATGCTTTTGCTTCTGGACTCCTAGATTTTAGATTAAGGCTTAGTCAAGCTATCAAATAGCTATTCAATTCTAAATAGTTATATGTATGTTATACAAATATGATGCACAAATACCCAAATGCTGAGTAAGTGCATGTAGTATTTTGCTAATTTTGTTATATACTTAGCATCTAAGTTATGAGCTAGATTCTTATTTTTAGTGGATAACACTAAAAATACATATTTAGGTCCTCTGGTGGTAGGTTAAGTATGTAAAATGTGGCAGATTCCAGGCATATGGCATTAAAGAGATCTGTGGAGTTTTGAAAAAATTTTCTCAGCTTTCCCCACATCCGCATACTGTGGGAAAGTTAATGACTGAAAAGGCCAATGTAATCATTTATTGTAGCATCTAACATTAAGTCTTATTATTATAGAAACTTTATGTTCTACTCTTTCTCTCTCTCTTTTCCCCCCCAGAATCATGCTGCTTGCAGTGGCAATATTGTCACTCTATTCAGTTCACCTTTTATTAAAGACAGCCAAGGAAGGAGGTATGCTACCCCTTAAGTCCAAGACATTGTGCTTGGATTTCCATATCTTGGTCTGCAGTTTTGGGATCTTTGGATGATTGGTGTTACGTTCTCATTTTATTTTCTCCTGGCCACAGTGCCATGGTCTCTCAATATTTTTAGTTAACTTGGGTGAGAGGCAGGAGTAAAAGTCAACTGGCTCAGGTTCAAACCAAATAGAAAAAAAGATTTTGGGTAGTGACAGAAATAACTTGCATGTAGCAAGTTTTGACTTGCTGCAAGCAGCTAAATGAAGAAAACCATGCTTCTTGTCTGGAGAACATTTTAATATATTGCTTTCTGGTTTCTGAAATTGCATCTCTTGGGCTCATAATTTCTATATTATGTTTGTTTACAAATTTGAGATTTCAATGTAGAATTATATTAGAGAAGTATTTTCATCAGTAAGACAATCTTTTTAACAAGGTCATCTTATCATTGATTGTAGGATCTTTAATTTATGAAAAATTAGGGGAAAAGGCATTTGGATGGCCTGGAAAAATTGGAGCTTTTGTTTCTATTACAATGCAGAACATCGGAGGTAAGTTTTCAATACACCACTTAAACTTTCCATAGAATGTTCAATAAATAAGAAAATTCTTATGGGAACCAGCAGTTAGCGTAATGGCTATGTCGCTGGACTCCCATGTAGTCGACTGCGGTTCGCGTCCTGGACCCGGTGGCTTAAAACTCAATGCCGGGTGCGTGTGCGTGCGTGCCCAAGATCCCGAGAGGAGAATGGAGGAGAAGGGATTGCGGCGTGACCATTCCCCCTGGGGGGTGATTTCTCGCTTTCTGTCTCTATGTCTCTTTCTGTCTGTCTGGCGAGCGCATGCGCCCTATAGTGAAAATCTCTCCAAAAAAAAAGAAAAAAAGAAAATTCTTATGGAAGTGAGCAAACACTTTAAATATAGACAAATAGTTGCTTTATAGCTCTTTAATGTCCAAAGTAAAGTTTTTGACAGATTTATTATTGCTTTTTACTATAACCCAACCAAGTGATTTTTAGAATTAAAATACAGGATACAATCTTTCTTGATTTCTAATGATCTTATAGTATTACAGGTTGAGCATCCATAATGCTGAGTTTTTCCTACTCTCATTTCTAACTCAAAGTTTAAGTTTTCTCAAATTCAAATCAGTTTTTGTTTCTGCAGTGTATAAAATTCTTCAGCATGCCCTCATTATTTTCAAGGTAAAATTTAAACTAATTGGCCTGACACAAAGGTCTTCATCACATTTTTCTGCCTACTTTCTTACCAATGCCCCTAAGTGTCTATATCTATTTGTCTGTCTCTCTGTTATCATGGACTATCTCCTATATGTCCTTTGTCAAACCATAGCAAACAATATTAATTCCCCAACGTTATTATTTTATTATTTTTTAAATCCTTGATGTCTTCTTAATACTTGCTATTTTCTCTTTTTGAATGTTCTTTGATGTCCTCCAACCCTAATAAACACACACACACACATACACACACATTCCAGTCTCTCTCTTCCCTTCTCCCCCCTCCCTCTCTCATTGCTTCTCTAGGCTGTTAGGTGCTAATTTCTGTTGGCCCTGTTTGTGTGGAACTGGTATGCTACTTTTTCTTAAGATATTTAAAAACTCTTGAGTAAAGAATAAACTTTTGGGATCTGATGCATCTGAGTTTGAGTCTGTTTCTGTCACTACCTGTGACCTTAGGAAAATTGCTTTATTCCTTAGAGTCTAATTTTTCCATCTGTATAAAGGAGAGTAATACTCCACTTGCGCAAGGTTGCTGTGAGGGTGACATAAAGTAACAAATGGTACATTACTAGAACACTTGCTTCCTCTCTGCTTCTCAGCTTCAGTATTTATGTCTCTGGCCCACTGATTATGTTTTTAGTGTGCATTTTCAACACAAATGTATGCTAATTGTGAAAAACTAATGCATTACATAAATATGTATATTACCAAGAAAACTTTATGTAAGTCACCTCAGAATAACTACCTCAGGTTTTCCTCTGGGTCTAATTTAACAAATATATTAGCATTGTTAAAATTGCATCATCTTATTAATATAATACTGATTTGTAGCTTGTTTCTTTTATTTGAAAATATCCCTTGAATGGGTTTGCATGTTATTCTTAATGGCTTTCAAGTTTTCCATCATACAAATGTACTAAAATTTGTTGCTGACTCCTTATTGAGAAACAGTTGGATTATTTCCAGTTTTTTACTTTTACAAACAATGCTACAGCAAATAGAACTACACAGAGATATTGCAAGGAAACAGCCCCTTAGTATAAATAAACTCACTAGCATTATCTAGGATTTATGAAATGCAGTAATTTCTTTTATAACCTTTATTCAACTATACAGGCCTTTACAATGGATAATTAATAAGCAAATAAATAAAATCCAGCCATATCTTACCAATTTAATTTTTCTATTCATATTTTTACATATTGTTTTATCACCATAGAGTATGTGAGATCATTTAAAGAGAATGCACCCCCACAATGGGACATGATCATGCCACAAGTCCCTTTCCTGCATGCTCCATCTCGGCAGGATTTGGGCAAGTGCATGTACCTAGTGTGATTTTTCAGCTGCTGGGGTCAGGATTCAAACTGTGGCCAACCCTGTGGGATCTGGTTCCCTTAACCACTGGGTTATAGGACCAGCCCATATTTTCATGTTAAGATTACAATCTTGGAATTTGGCAGAAACATCAGGGTTATCTCATTCCTTTTACTGGGTTTGGACCACAAGCATCTAAACTTCTCAAATCCCACCACATAGACTACTTTACATTTGGTTCCAATTTTCAGCCTTATCAAGATTTAAAGTATCAAGCATTTCACAAGATTACCTCACAGCTGATGTAATTTATTTGTTTTGACAACTGAAATAACCAGACGCTAGCATATTTAGTCCTGGAATTCAACAAGCTGAGTGGCAACAGCATCATCTGTTGCTCAAGTGTAGCCACTATTACACTTTGAATATGGAATAAACTATAAAGAAGTCTCTCAGTCAAGCCACACACAGTAAGCGATGCAGCTTGAAGGGAGTGAGCTGAAATTTCATAATACCACCCCAGAGAGCACTCTCACTTTTGGTTACTCTGCATGATTAGCGGCCTAAGGGAAATCTCTTATTTTTCTGTATTTAACAGCTTAGAATGCTTAATGTTCTCAACCCCCTAAAAATTTAGCATTTACCCCAGATGTTTGAACATTAGCAGAATTATGTTGACCTTGCCCAAACAGGTCTGGATCATATTGAAGTCTTAGAGACTACACACATTAACAGTGGTGACATCACTAAAAATCAGCAATTACTAACTCTAAAATGGAAGGGCACCTCACTAAGTCAGTTAATCAGAAATATCCCCTGTTTGTACTCTATAAGATTTAACTTTAGCCAAGGCCTTTGTAAAGATTAATCAAATAACATGTACAGAAGACACATTGAAGTGTAGTAAAAATCATTTCACTTTGAAAACAAAGAAGCCCTGGTCCAAACGTCAGGGGATTACATTTTAGGTGTGGTCTGTCCTTTTAAGCTGTGTGATCTTGGACATGTCATTTAACCTCTCAAAATCTTTACATCTCAGCTGCAGAATGAGAATGCATTTTGTTGTCATCTCACAAGGCTTTTCAGATGATCAAATGAAGCAATGTACAGAACTAAACAACATAGAGAATTATTATAATTGTTATTATTTTCATTTGAAGTTAAGGAAATATTTTGAAACTTTTAATAGTCCAATTTACAATTTAGAAATATCTCTTAAATACCTGTTAGCAAAAATTCATCAGAAAGATGTAACATGCATCCAAAATTTTTATGTAAAGCTGGCCGGTTTTATTTTTAATTGAGTCTCTTAACCATATGTCAAATAACAAATTAAGATGCTTCACTGGATGAATGGACTTGGGAAAAGGGTGTTGCATAAATCCTTACAATTGTAGGCAAAATTGTCATGTTATGCATATGTATACATATTTATTTTTTCCAGGGAGAAGATTTAGAGATTCCATAACATTTTCTAAACAGTCATGATTGCTCATAAATCACTACCAAGATGCTCTAGAAATTTTGCTAATTTGTATAATTTTTTATTTGACCAAAAGGGGAGTAGAGGGGGGAAAACACCACTGACCAAAAAAAGAGAAGCAATCATCTCTTGTATTCTTTTATGGATCTAGGAAGAACCAATTTCAACAAGACATTTTCTGAGACCTTGTGTCAGGGAGCTCTCAGAGGACTAGATTGGCACCCACGTGGTGGAAGTCAGAGCGATGTATAGTCTACCCTACTCTACCTAGGAGCCCACTCCCTCTCTTCTGACCTCTGCCCTTTGTTGTCAGACCATTGCCCAAGTTATATACACAAAAATAGGCACTTTCACTGTGGGCCCTGATGATTGATAAATAATGAGGGTGAAACTTGAAACTGTGGCTGCAAGGAAAACCTTGGGGCTGAATCAGCATTGATACTGTTCACAAAGGTACCTGTGCAATAGCTAGAGGGGCAAATATCTATGTTTAAAAAGAACTCAGAAGCAATGCAGAATACATGGTGGCTCTTCTTTCTGTTTGAAAGAGTAGATGTTCATCTTACTCAGAAGAATGGATGTTTCAAATGCCATGACTTTTTAACTATGGACATGTGACTTTAGTGCTGTGCCCATCACTAAGCTATTATGTTTTCCATTTTAGCAATGTCAAGCTACCTCTTTATCATTAAATATGAACTACCTGAAGTAATCAGAGCATTCATGGGACTTGAAGAAAATACTGGGTATGTCTTATGTTCTCTCGGTAACATCAAGTGACTTCATTCTGATTGGTGTTTTCCGATCCTAATACGCCTTGTCTCTCTCTCTTCTAGAGAATGGTACCTCAATGGCAACTACCTCGTCATATTTGTGTCTGTTGGAATTATTCTTCCACTTTCTCTTCTTAAAAATTTAGGTAAAGTCATTTTCTAGCTGAAAACATTTTTATTTCATATGCTAATCGATAGGTAAGATGCCATATTCACCTTCCTAAATTGTTCTGCTGATTCTAGGTTACCTTGGTTATACCAGTGGATTTTCTCTTACCTGCATGGTGTTTTTTGTCAGCGTGGTAAGTGATTTGTTGATCTGATCCTTATAGCTTGGTGAGCATGAGGTGCTTTTAGTGCCTAAATGCATGTCCTCATTTTAGTTCAAGCACTTCACTAATATGAAATAGTTCTTGCATTGCAAGAAATTTTCCTGTATTCTAATTTGGATTGAAAAAGGGCAATCACAAGTTTAAAAATAGCTGAGTTCGAATGTCAGGGCTGTTGCTAATGATATGTTCCTAGCACACTGGGTGTATAATGAGACAAAAGAAGCACTTCAAGCAGGAACATGAGGATAACACAGAATTTGGAAAGGGAGAGGAAGAAGTGAAGAGTCTCAGAAGACAGAGGAGCAGGCTGTAGTCATATCCACATGAATCAGCCATTCTACCCAGTAAGAAAAAGCAGCCACAGAATCAAAGAAGAAATCCTCTTCTCTCTGCTGACCCTAAGAAAAGGAGGAACTTACTGCAATATCATGGATGTCAGAATTTATAAAATATTTCCCCAAAGAGGCAACAGAGAGGAGAGGGTTTTTGATGACCCATGTTTGAGGAAATAAAAGGTTTGAAGTATAGCAAGGAAATGTTTTCTTTCTCATGAAGGGCATGAAAAAGGTGTGAAATGGATTAATGCAAACTGCTGTCTGGCTGACTGAGGGGCAGGGCTGCCAATCATAGTTCCAGCTCTTTCCTTAGAACAGAGGCTAGCATGAATCTCATTGGTTCATTAGCTTAAAAGAAATCCTTAGCCAAGTCCTCTGACCCCCCAACCCATAAACCACACGCATAGATTACTTTATTACTGTTTCTCCAAAGGCTGACTTTTTTTTTATTATTATTACTTAAATCACTGTAAATCTAGGTGATTTACAAGAAATTTCAAATACCCTGCCCTCTGCCTGTTCTGGATCACAGTGCTGGAAATCTGACTTTCAACAACACGCTTCTGATGCATGTGGTGACGTTACCTAATAACTCTGAGAGTACCGGTGTGAACTTCATGATGGATTATACCCACCGCAATCCCACAGGGCTCGATGAGAAGCAGGCAAAGGGCTCTCTTCATGGCAGTGGTGTAGAGTACGAAGCCCATAGTGATGACAAGTGTCAACCCAAATACTTTGTATTCAATTCCCGGGTAAGTGAGAGGCCTAGACCTCTAGTGAACCTAGATATGTGGTGTCTGAATTTTTATTTCATAAACTAAGATGGCCTGGACTTGCCATCTATGTTGGAACGCTAAACATGTGGTGTTGTCTTTGTTTTTCAGACGGCCTATGCAATTCCTATCCTAGCCTTTGCTTTCGTATGCCACCCTGAGGTCCTTCCCATCTACAGTGAGCTTAAAGAGTAAGGCAGCCATTATCTTAGCATTCTAATCTGCTTTGAAAATGTGCTCATATGTTTGAAGGTGCTTCATGAAGAGACTGGGTTTATAGCTTTCTTTTCAGAGAAGGTTGTACCACTCATCTGTAACGTGCCTTAAACAAAAACATATGAATCCTCACGCACTGTGCTACCTTACATGCTTCCTTCCTTTTCCTGCCTTTCCTCTCTAAGGATCATGGAAGGAGTTCAGGGCCAACAGAGGAAGAGCCAGTTGTTGCCATGATTTTGGCAGGTGTGAGGAATTTAAATTTATATTTTAGTGGGAAGAAGTGGGGTCAGCAGAACTAAAAATGAAAACACCCATGAAAGCCAGAAGTTATATAAAGTCTTGCCAAATTACTGATGTTACATGTGACCAGTTCCTAATCCTTTCTAGAAGATGTTCTCCACAAGAATTATGCTGGTATCTGGCCTTCATTGTTTTACCTGTACAATGGAGATCCTGGTTAGAAAGATCTTGTTTCTTCCAGCTGATGATCTATGATTCATTCATACTCTTTCTTTTGAAATTGTTGACTTCTACTTGGAAACAAAGTGGGTCTGAACCACGATGGTGCTTCCCTCTTTACCCTTAAGGGTAATCACGTAATCATCATCGATGTCTCTAACCCAGACATTAATAACTCAGTCTGCATTCTCATGTAATAGTGACAACTTTCCCCATTAATTCTTATTTACCTCATTAAAAACCTTTTGGGATGCTTTCAATTATTTTGGTGGCTTTGATTTACTTCAAAACTAATATGTGGCATTACTTGGGACCAGTAGATGGTGAAACAGTTACATCACTGGACTCCCACGTAGTTGACTGCAGTTTGAGTCCTGAATGCGGCGACTTAAAACTTAGGCCTGGTGCATTTGTGTGCATGCCCAAAATCTGAAGAGGAGAATGGAGGAAAAGGGATTGTGGCATGGCTATTCCCCAGGGATTGATTTCTTGCTTTCTGTGTCTCTGTCTCTCTGATGAGAGCATACGCCCTATAGCAAAAATCTCTCTCTCAAAAAAAAAAATCATATGTAGCGTTACTCTAGAAGCTTTACAGTTGACCTTAGGCATTTAGGCACCCTCTAAAATGATTTTCAGAACCTGTGCAGATAATAGTATCAGACTTCTAAAAGTCTGAACTCCAGGCAATAGTGCTTTGCTGATTCTAGTAGGTTCTTTTTTCATTAAACTCACCTCACCATGAAATGCAAAAGCTGTCTACATTAGGAGCCAGTTTGATCTTCATGTTAATTACATTCTTAATTATTCAATGGGCAAGCTTACTGACATGAAGTAGACTGCTTCTCTTCTAGGGAAATAATTGTGTCTAAGACTGAATTAGTAGTGTGTAAGAAAAATGGAAAAGAATCCTCCTTAGCTCTCTAAGATGAATTTAAATAATCTATAATCTTATTTACTAGAAATATCTGCTTATCATGAGCCACACAAACATACATTCTTTAATTATTTTTTATTTTAATTTTAAAAGATAATATTTCTATAAGTTTAAAAGACAAAGCTTGGTGTTATTTTTCTTTTCAGTCGGTCCCGGAGAAAGATGCAAGCAGTGTCAAATATTTCCATCACAGGGATGCTTGTCATGTACCTGCTGGCTGCCCTTTTTGGTTACCTAACCTTCTATGGTAAGTCACTCTGTCAAAGTCATTCTCTTTGTGCAAATTCTAACTAGATTTGCATTTAACCTATGAAAGGATGATTCTTTTAATTACCCTCTGTAAGCAGCACAATCTTGAGTATGAGATGACACTCAACATGTTATTTTAGCTTTGACACTTGACCTAAGGAAATGGGGCCTGAACTGGCCCTGCTAACAGCTTGCAACAATATGTGAATTCACACATATTTTATTAAAAATATTTCTCAAATTAAGTTATTTCCTTCAGGAATAAATTATTTATTTTTGGCTCTACTGCTTAAGCCATCTCAGGCTACAAGCAATGAGAATGCATCCAACTGCATGAAAAAAAGCTCTTTTAATAGCATAATTAACTGCCTGCTAAGCAAATGGCAGAAAAAGTACAAAGTCCTGGAACTTGAATTTGCTTCTTATTTACCATTCAACTTAATTCTGGGAGCTTGGAGCATTAGGTAAAATTTCCGGTTTATCCCACTCTATTCTGTTACAGTGAATAGCTTCCTAAGAAAAGGAGGGACATAACAGCCCATCCTTCACCCTGGAAATGCATTCTATGATCATCTAAGATTACACAAAAGCAATAGGTTTGTTATTTCTTTCATGAAGTGTAGCCCTATAGACGAAGTTCATGGAATCGAGCACTGGCCTGATAGCAAATGTTCATACTAACTAGCATGCTGACATAGTATATGTTTTAGTATATTTATTAGTTAGATATAGACCTCCCTAACTTTTTAAATTTTCTTTTTTCTTATTGACTTGGTAAATTACAATCACACTAAATTCTCCTTGCATGTTTCTTATACTACTGAATGAGTTTCATAAGATAAGTAAAAACTTAAAAAAAAAAGAAAAAAAACCCAAAAACTAAGAATATGTGTTTCAGTGTCAAGATGGAGTCCTAACTGTTGAGCTTGAAAAAACACTAGAGATCCTTGGTCCTGTAGTTTCCACAGAGGTTGAAGAGACTGCGTTGGGATGGCTCCCACAGAGGCAGAGAGCAGTGGTGTATGGGAGGGACAGGTTTGTGGGGCTTGGACCTTCATCCCCTTCCACAAGAGCACCTCAGTCTCTCATCTGGTTTATACTTCTGCATAGCAGAGACCAGTTTATCATAAGGCAAATGAAGTCAAGAAATTCCTTAGCAATCTTTTATTAACTCCTACAATTTTATAAACTTCAGGACCCTTTTGTTCACACGAACCAAGTTTACATAGCAAATACACTCAGAGATAAAATAAGAACAGAGGGATCTGGATTTCCAGACCTAAGGTTTTTACACTGTGCTGTGTTCCCTCCATAAAAGTTATGAAAGTAACCAGTGCCAACTTGACCCAACAGATAGACTCATTCTCTTCTTCTTTGCAGGGGAAGTTGAAGATGAATTACTTCATGCCTACAGCAAAGTATATACATTTGACACCCCTCTTCTCATGGTACGCCTGGCGGTTCTAGTGGCAGTAACACTAACTGTGCCCATTGTCCTGTTCCCAGTAAGTACCTGAAGCCCTGATGGAAGAACCTGTTTGATCTGATAGATCAGTACGAATAAGTGTAGGGGCAAAATTGCGAAATTTATTTTAACTTCATTTCAAAAAATGGAACTGGAACTCTGTCTTATGTATTAGTAATAATAAGTAGGAGTGCATATAACTTTTGAAACTTGAAAGCCAAAACCATATTAACTTTTAAATCATATTGCATTTTTATTACAATTTTGAAGATTTGTTTTTTCAGTTTGTTGTTCTGCAATAATATCCAAAAGTCACCTTACTTATTCTGTTGCCTTGAAGGTTCCTGAGAAGATTCAAATTAAATAAATTACACACTAGAACAATTGTTTTAAAAATTGCTGTATTACCCCCATATATCTTTTCTAGCTTCCAACTCTGCTAAAAGAACTGACACTTGCCCTCTCTCGGACTCAGACTAGTATCACCCCCTCCTGGCATTTCCATTGGCGTCAGTCAGTTTGTTCTGGGATCACAGAAAAGGGCTGGGAGTCAGGATTTGGGCCACATAAATGAACCACCACCTATGGATAAACACAGGTCTTCATTTTCCTGCCAACACTTCTCTTTTCATAAACACTGAATTTACTCATTCATTTTAAGGGGAAAAATAAATAAGCGACACAGTAACCAGTACCATCCTGTACAGAATGTTCCATCCAGGGCCCAGTGTGTGAGGACTGCTCTGTAATGACACTGTGGTCACTTTAAATGCAGCTTGTGTACAGAAATATATTTTGGCACATTCCTTTTTCATGAGTGCATGAAATCAGATACTTGTTACTATGGTGACTAATATCTTACTCTTAAATAACATCTTGCCTCTAATATATATGGAAGTATTTCAAATTACATATACATAGCATTGGCCTAAAATCAGCTTCGTCTTGGGTACAAGGCAGAAGACAGCTGTAAACAAAAGGTATACTATAGAGTAAAATTTCTAAGCAAACAGCTTCACCAAGAAAAGACTATCTAGAGGGACCAGCAGTTAGTGTAATGGCTATGTCACTTAACTCCCATGTAGTCCACCGTGGTTCGAGTCTTGGACCTGGTTAGCTTAAACTCACACTGGGCGCGTGTGCGTGGGTGCCCAAGATACCGAGAGGAGAATGGAGGAGAAGGGATTGTGGCATGGCCATCTCCCCTGGGGGGTAATTTCTCGCTTTCTGTCTCCGTCTCTCTCTGTCTCTCTGGCAAGCACACGCGCCCTATAGCAAAAAAAAAAAACAAAAACAAAAAAAAACAATCACTAACTAAATCTTGGCACAGAGTAGGCACTTGCATTATTGTTGAATCAAAGCATTTAATGAAAGATGTCTGTTATGTTCTTCTGTATTCCTTTATTTATATTCATATAATGTTTCCAAGCTATGGTCTCAAGAGTTTGATGGACTTGGCCATCATAACACCAGCAAGCTGGGAGAGTAAACTAATGCACTGGTCATAGCATAATGCTGATGGCAACAATCAACAAAATGGGAAATAAAAATTAGCCTTTCATTTATTGATGAACATTTTAGTCTCAACATTGAAACAGATCTCCCTTGGGACCAGCAGTTGCATAATGGCTATGTTGCTGGACTCCCCTGTAGTTGACCATGGTTTGAGTCCCGGACCCGGTGGCTTAAACTCATGCCAGGTGCATGTGCATGCATGCCCAAGATCCTGAGAGGAGAAAGGAGGAGAAGGGATTGCAGCGTGGCCATTTCCCCGGGTGGTGAGTTTTTGCTTTCTGTCTCTCTGTCTCTGCCTTTCTGACAAGCGCACGTGCCCTATAGCAAAAACCTCTAAAAAAAAAAAAAAAAAAAAAAACAGATTTCCCTTTAGAAATTCTTTCTCTGTATGTGAGAAGCCCTGATATAAATCTGACCATGTGGAACAGCAATAGTTTGTAAACATTTAATGCCACTGGAATCAAAAGTGACTGTGAGAACCAAAATACAATGACAATAGCTGTTATCCTTCATTATGTAGTTTCATTCAATATTAGCATTTATGAAACCTTATGCACACATTCCCATAGTATCTTTACAATATTAGATTGAAATCTGCACAAATACCTCCTTCCCTCTAGATTTAAGACCTCGGAGGTTGGGGATGTGAATAGGGACTGGCACCAAGGAAGCTCTCAGGAATGTTTGCTAGGAAAAAATGGTCTCCAAATGAATGTTGCCTTTTTAGGAAATACATAAACCACATTTCTAGCAAAAGCATAGGCTATTTCCCTTGTTTTCGCTGGCCATGAATTTAGTTTGGACGAGGATCTAGTTAAATGAACCAAACCTCTGTGAATGCAATAGAGGCATAAAGATGGTGACAGATAGGGTCCAACTTCCTTACGCCAAATCAACCAATTAGTCCTTTAAGGCAAAATTCACAGTTTTTCATCAAAGTAATAGAAGATAGTGATGCTTTTGTTTGTTTGTCTCTTCTAACTTGAAGTCAAGATTTTCCAGAATGTCAAATGCAGTCACAACATGGTTCTGATAGGTTTCTTTGAATTCAGAGATTCTTGAAAAATTATTTTATTTACCTGCTTTGAAATCTCCATGTATAAATAACAAAACAAGTAAAACCCAACCTGAATTACAATCTGTCAGTTCTATATTATTTTGTGTTCTCATCTTTCAATAAATGATAACAGGGCTCTCTTCCTTAAGAACCCAGGAAAATAGGGCAAGGGTTTGTTTTTCTTTCATTTATTACTTTTCTCCATTTGGGTTAGTTTTTTTCTTCTTAGTAAAAGGTATACAGGAAGGCATATAGTAACTGCTTGTAATGTTACTACATGGAGTAGGGAGCTTCTTTGGGGACTGTATAATACCGTTTCAGTTTATGCTTCCCTTTATGCAAGAAAGTCCACATATCACCACAAAATACAGAAAACTACATAATCCTAATGGTTTGTCATGAGCACATAGGGTCAAATTCCATCTGCCATGCCTTTAAAAACAGATCACTTCTAGCATTATCTAATACTGTATTTCATCTTATCATAGTAAAATCATTCTTTTCACATCTGTTACCTTCAGATCGACTGTTGTGAGTGTATATAAATACAGAAACAGGCAGATATTACCATGAACTTCAGGGGAGCAGTAATTTGTCAGTATTTCCAACACCCATGCCCTAAGCAATCAGTCCTACAAAGGAAAGTGTGAAGCACTTCTAAGCCATGGGAGAATGTAATTATTTATTTTTAAAGGCTCTGCCTTTCTTTTACCTCCACATTTCTGACCTTCACACTAGGTCCCTGTATCAACACAGCCCCTCCTAACTGGCTGTATAGAACTGTTCTGGAATCATTCCGGGTCAGAGGCCCTGGCTATTTGTTGCTGGAGACTTCCCCACCTGCAGCATTTGACCCACATTTCCAGGTTCTTATCAGTTTGTGTCAGTAGAAAAAGTGCACATAGATAAGTGTGAGAGTAGACAAGCTTTGTGGGTAATAAGCCAGAGTTGACTGGGTCCTGACATAGGTAAACAGGACTGCTGAGGATCTTAATTCCAGGCTCACTCCTAGGGCAGTATTTTCACATGGCATGACTAGCAAGGTTCATTTCTTTCCAGTGCTACCACCAGCCTACTGTCTCCCTCTTCAGGAATGCACTGGCAATTCCGTATGCCTTTAGTTCTGTTTAGTATTTTCTTATTTGCTATGAAAAGGAAGCTTTCACCATTTGCTCCAGCCATTTTCCTGTTACAAGTCTTGTAGATTTCCTGTACTCTGACATCATTAGGCCAACTTTTAGTTTTTCTGGGAGCCATGAGAATTTAGGAATGCATTTGTATGCCAGACCCTTTATGTGTGTTGGGATGGTGTTAACTCAGCTTATTGAACTGAATTTTAATGTTCAGTTGAATTTTTAACACCCATCACCATTTTAACAAAGGGCACATAAGTGTGACACATGTCTGAAAATGAACCTGTATTCTATTTGCTTATTCTACAAGTTTACCACAAACAAGTCTTTAAGCACTGTGTGTGTGTGTGTGTGTGTGTGTTGTGTCATAAAAAAGCTTATTTTAAGCCTACCAATTAACCTCATTCAGACAATATTAAATAAGCACTAAAAAAGCAGTGATAATGTAGAATTTATAAGAGAGCTACAGAAAATGGCATTAAACCACTTTCCTCAGTTTAGTTTTTAGAACGAGTTTCATAATTTTCACTAATCCATTTTTAAAAATCTTTTGCTAAGTCATTTTTAAACCATTTCCAGATACTATCTGGTTTGCCACTCTAGAAATGAAATTGCCTTTCAGCCTAAACAGATGGCTTTAATTTTTGGTGGAGTGGTATGAAAGGAATGTCACATGAGAAACTGCAAGCAATTTAGCTTGAATATTTTCTCCTTCATACGTGCTTCAAAATATATTTTACATTTTCTCTCTTAAATGAGTTCCCATCTCAACAACGTTAAGAGACTCTAGAACTAAAACTTCAAAGTGAAAATCAACCCCCCATTTCTAAAAATGAAGTCCTAGCTTAAATGAAGCACTCACTTATTGAAAAGCCAATAGAGTAATTCCACTGAGTCAAAAAGTGTCCTCTCAAGATTCTAACGACAAGAGTATTTTCAACTCGGTAAAACTGCAAATGTCCTCTCTCCCTCTACAGCAAAGATTTCTTTTATCCAGTTACATCAGAGTAACATGAGCTGCCAGACCCTGCAAGTAGAGCCTCTCTTGACCCTTTACCTACTTAATTCAGTTGCTGAAATCGGGACAAAACCTATCAAGGATTTCAAACAAAGGAAAAGATTCCTACTGTTTAATTCAGTTCAGTATTTATTGAGTGTCTGTAGTGTGTAAGACACTTGGCTAGAAACTCTGAAGAATGTTAAGATTATTAAGTCTTGCTCTTGCCATTTGTGGATTTATTGATGAAGATTTATCAATAGATTTATTGATGAAGAAAGGAAAAGAGAAAGGAATAATCACAAAAGGTATCATATTTTATTAGAAATAGAAAGTGATGGGCCAGTTTGTGGTGTAGTAATTATGGTGACTGGATCCACATGGCTGCTACACAGTTTGAATCCTGGACATGGTGTCTTGAAAAACAGATCTAGCATGTGTGCATGCATGCTCAAAATTCCAAGAGGAGAATGGAGGAGAAGGGATTGCAGTGTGGTCATTTCCCCTGCTCTGGAGGGTGGTGCTTTCTTACTTTCCCTCTTTTTCTCTCTGTCTCTCTCTGTTAAGTACAGGTGCCCTCTAGCATATTTTTTTAAGTGGCAAAAATATTAAATAAAACATGTGATTTAGATCATGCAGAAGATAGAATCTCAGATGTAGAAAATAGAACCTCTGACCTATAAAAATTCACCAAAAAGACTGAGAAAATCCCCCCCCATGAGAATATGAGTAACACTAGATACCATTACATGCCCAAACATACGGCTCATTGGTATCCCAGAACATGAAGAAACTAATAAGGGCATTAATAATCTGTTTCATAAAATCCTGGAAGAAAACTTTTCAAATCTAGAGAGGCAATCAAAATCAGACCCAAGAAATAAAGGACCCCACACAGATTCAACCCAAGAAGATCTTCCCCAAGGTACATCATAACCAGATTGACCAAAACCACAGACAGAGACAAGATACTAAAATTGGTAAGAGCGAAACATTAAGTTACTTTCAAAGGATATCCCATAGGCTAACATTGGACCTTTCATCAGAAACAATGTAAGCAAGGAAAGAATGGGAAAATATATTCAAAGTGTTAAGTGAAAAACAATTTCAACCAAGAATACTATATCCAGCAAGATTATCCTTCATATAAGAAGAAAAGTCTGAAAAATTCTCAGATAAACAAAACCTGAAAGAATTTATCAATATCAGACCAGCTCTTCAAGAAATGTTGAAGGGAGTGTTGTAACAGGAAAACTAAAGACAGACAGAAATAAGAGAACAAGAAATGATCAATAAAAAGTCCAACTTAATGGTAGGGACAAGTTCAGAAATATCAATAATAATGTTGAATGGTAACTTCCAGGATTTAAATGGAAAGATCAAACCATAGTTAACGCTGCAAATTCAATAGAAGAGATACTAATTGCATGAGTCTGAACTAGTGAAATAGAATCTTTTGACTTTAGAATAAAACATTACTGATTTTCTTTGATGCTTTGATTTTCATATTTAAGGATGTTTGTCTTCCTTTGAACTGTAGATAGGTGCATCTAACTACTATTTGAACTGAATCCTTACCTATTTCCTTTAAATTTTAAGCAAATTTATCTTAACATTTTTTATTTTGATATATTAAAACTAAAACTGTTTTTCTTGAAGTTAAAAAATGCATGGGGCCAGCAGTTAGCGTAATGGCTATGTTGCTGGACTCCTATGTAGTTGACCACGGTTC